GGGGCCAGCAAATCTTGACCTTCAGCTCTGCAGTCCTGGAGTGGCATTTTACCAAGAAATAAAGAAAAGGGAAGAAAGAAATGTAACCCTAATGGAAGCACCCACAATGCACACAGTCATGTCAAGACTGATAGTTGGTTGTGCTTTATTAGGTGTAGGAATCTGAAGCTCTAACCAAGTGCATTAAGGGATAAAAATACTTGGTGTGTTGATTGTCCTTTGGAAGCTAAAAGTGTTCTTGAGCCAAGCTCAGCTACCAGGATCTGTCCATGCAGTTTTCTCAACAACGGTACAGACTGCCTTGTCGTTGCCTTCATCTTGGAAGAATTTTTGATTTCCCACTCTAACGTACGGCTCTGATATTTCCTACTTATCTCCCATATCACTATTAACTTCTGCTTAACCTTTAAGATCAACCATGGTCGACTAAGGGCTGCCATCTTCTAGAGTTCTAAAGTCTGAGTTGACCCTGAGTCCTGGTGTCATTGTCAGGAGGGAGTTTACCATTGCCACCTTCTTGAATGTTATCTTGGCTTCCCAGTTGAGTCTGTAGCAAACTTGGCAACTTTAAGATGTGTGGACTTCAACTCCCAGAATTCCCCAGCCAGCGAGTATTGGAATTCCCTGGTGGCCTCTCATCCAAAAACTAACCAACAGCAACCCTATTTAACTTCTGAGCCCAGATAAGATTGGCTTGTTCAGTCTATGTATTTCCTGTAATTCCTAAGTGCTGAATCTAATTTGGAGTTAAACTTTTATTGGGGTTGATTTAGTCCTGTTTGGGTTGTAAGATGCTCAGAGTTGGTCAAGGACCACAGCAACATGTAACCTAATAAAATACATTTCGGCAACATCCCTCCCATTGAGACCATAATCCATAGCTGTCAGTTTGTGTACTGTTTAGTGAGTGATAAGCTGTATGAGCCAATGGCAGAATTTTATATCTTAAGGCTCAAGAGTTCTTGATTCTCTCTGGCTTCTAAGGAGCAGCTTATCTCTGATGTCTTCTGTGTCAAGGTCAAGTGATGTTTGGGGATGCTTGTAGTGAGAAAGCTTGAAATAAATATCTGGTGGTGACCATGTCCCAGGATGGATCATCATTAATCGGCAATGTTGCAAGAGAGGGAAGAATTCCACAGATGAAATTGATCCCTCCTCACTTTGGCTTCCAAATCTCCCAGTTCTGTCTGGTTTCGATGTATTTGAATGTCTGGAGAAACAAACACAGATGTTAGTAGCTGCTGTAGCTACTGGAGCAAAAAGATATATATATTGGACAGCTTTTTAGATTCTGAGCTGCCATGACCTCATTATAGTCATCTTTCAAAATATTGTTTGTTTTTTAGATGGGAAGGGGAAAAAATTTCTTCTAAATTGTTTTTGGTTACCAACCACAAAAGAGACTTTCATAATGTCCTGGCACAACAATGCAGTGATGAGAAAGGAGTCTTTATTTCTCATATTTATTCCTGAATGTGTCTCTCTCTCTCTATCACTTTCCAGGGCTAACTCACATGAGGAATGAAAGCAAACACAAAATGTAGAATTATAATTCAGTAGGCATCAAAGTCCAAACAGAAAGATGGACCTGAAGAGTAGAGAAAAACAGGAAAATCAGATATCCTGCCATTGCATGACACTGACCTGGGAAATGAGAAGACAGCCTCGTCGCCTTCTCAGATGTTGCTTCAGACCTCATGGGAACTTGGCTCTGACACCTTTCCAAGCTTAGAGAGAGAGAGAGAGAATTTGGTGTCACTAGGGCTGTCCACAGGCTGTGATCAAAACAGACAAGATAATGGCCACGATGGAGCAATTGAAGTTTCACCACTTTTTACGTGCACGGGTTGTGTGATGCACAGAAAGAATGGGTGGAACTTTGATCACACTGTTGCGATCACCATCTTAACCTTTTTGACCTCACCCTGTGAACATAGCTGTCCCAGGGCAGTTTAGCATACTTCCTTTGCCACTCCGATCTAGAGTGGGCTCTTGTATTATTTTGGTGCATGTTAAATAGAGCCTCACTTCCTTTTCCTGTGTTTGTTGAATTTTCTTATTGCTGCACTCAACCTTTGCCCCTGGCCCTCCTATTCTGTTTGCTCACACAACACATCGATCAAGGTCAGCTGCAAGCGTAGCAGCTGCATTTCCACCATTGGCTAAACTCACTTAGTTTAAACCTTGGGTGACAGGAAGGGCCTTCCCATGCGATTCACACATCACTCTTGGTTGTTGCATAATTGTGGGGATTTCAAAATATGCATGGCCTAAAAAAATAAAAGATTAAAAGAAGCAGGGGTCTTCTTCTTGTTCCCCGCTATGGACAATTCCATCTTTAGGTGTGAGAATTAGCTCTGAGCAACACCATCTGCTTGTAGGGGTCAAAAGAGGCAAGATGGCAGATGTGAATCATGATCAAAGCCCTGCCCCTCTTGACATATGTGCAAAAGTAGGAGGACTTGCATCATAGCACCTTCTCTGCCATATTGTATTTTTTGACCTCCTCTGTGGACACCATTTATGGGTTTTGGTAAAGGGCCCCCTGAATGAATGGAAAGCCCCCGGAACTCAGTCTTGCCCTAGAGGAAGAAATGATTGGGTGGCCCGATCAGAAACATTTATTGCAGGCCAGCCGATGAGAAAATACACGGTTGAGTAATCCTCTATCTTTAAATATATTTAATCCATTTTATTTAAGGAAATTGGCATATTGTCTCTGGGTGCCCCTTTTTTAGATCCTGAAGAATAGGAAAGATAATTTGCCATTAAGCAAAGGAAAGCCAGCCTTTATTAAAAGAAAATGCCATCATTCATATTTAATGTTTGATTTCTTCAGTTGCCAGGAGCAGAACAGTTACCAAAGAAATAAACAAGTGCGACCTTCATTCACATCCTTGCCAATTAAAAGGGCCTCCCAGAATAAACCGAAGCTGTTCTTGATTAATTTGCCAACAACACTTTTTTTAAAAAAAATCCCCTCTAACAAGTGGATGTTATAACAGACCAGTACATTTCTTTCCCTGCATCTTATGTGGCTAATCTCCTTGAAATGCAAGAAGTTTGCTTGGGGGTTTGCTAGACAGAAAGTGACATTATATCAAGTCAGGGATGGAAACAGAGGGGCAAACAACTGTGTGTGGTTTCTGGCATGATCTTGGATTTTCCTTCCACTCATCTTGTGTCTTGTTGCCCCAAGCCATCTCTCTGTACTCGTCTGTCTGTGGGAGAAAGAGGAGGATGGAAGGATAAAGGAAGGCAGGGGAAATAGCCATGACATATAAGACCCATGGTGGGAAGTGGAAAGAACTTGAAGTTTCCACTGAGCCAGGACATCTCTCTTCTGCTACAGGCAAATGTCTCTGGGGAGGAAGTTCTACCTTTGGGGGTGCCATTTTCTTGGTCTCTGCACCCTCATTTGTACTTAGTGGGGGCATCCCAGAAAAATGTCTCTGATGAGGATGACAAAGAGTCTTTCCTCAGTACTGAGTCATTGTGCTTGTCTCAAGTTGGCATGACACATGCGGCCCCATTGCCAGTCCTTCTCCTGCCTTGATGGTCCTCCAAGATCCTGGTTGACATGGTTGACAAAGCCGGGCAGATTTTACAACCTGACTGCTGCCCTTGGTGGGTGTTGGAATAAGTGGGGAAATGCTAGTTTAAGACTGATATTACTAAGGACTACCTTTGTCTGTCATCTTCACGGGCTGGGGTTGAGATGATGGCAACATTATGGGAAAAAGGCTGGGGGAAAAAAAACTTATAAGGGCATGCTGGTTGCCGGTCTTGGGAAGACTCAAGTTCAGATAAGACTCAAGTTCAAATCCCTTAGCCATGGGATGACTTTGGGCCAGTCCCTTTCTCTCTGCCCAACCTCCCTCAAGGGGTTGTCATTGTGGGGAAAATGGGAGGCGGGAGTTATGTGTGCCTCCTTGGGCTCCTGACTGAAAGGCAGGATATAAATCTAACCAACAATTCAATGTGGAGATATGGCTAAATTCCATTTAGCCAATTCTTCAGGTAACCAGGATCTCAGAGGCTTAGAACTATAAAGATGAAAAGCACCACATCTTCACTGAACTCAGAAAGGGACAAGTGGAGCAAACGAAGCCCAGCGCAAGACATCTGAATCATCCCCCTGAACACCTTTTCAGATTTATTTTATTCTAGCTGCTGTCAAAGGCAAGCCACGTGTATCATGCAGGTTAGGCCACTGCAGCCTGGGAACTGTCCCAGAATTCTCAGCAATAGCTATGTTGACTGGGGAATTCTGGGAAAGATATTGCACTGCAGCAATCCAAAAGCAAGAATGATAACGAGGTTATCAGGGCAAATTGGTAAAAGGCATGTCAACCTCCTGAGGGTTTTGTGCATTGTTAGTGACAATGACAGGTCAGTTTATGGTAAAACGATCAAGAAAAGATCCAAGGTGGAAACCCGTTGAATTTGCCCTTGAAGTTCCTCACAAGGTTCATATTTATAAACAGACCTGAATGCACAATGTTAGGAAGACATGCTTACTTCAATCTTTAGGCAGTTCCACTCCAGTGGAAAAGTGTAAACTTGTGATCAGTATGCAGCGACGGACCTGTGCACTGAAACGTACATTTTGGATGCAAACGAAGAAGAATACATTTGTGATGTAAATGTACAGGGTTGGGAGGGGGTGTGCAGGTGTACATTCATGTTTGTTTCTCAGTCTGCAAGCACAAATCTACCTGGAGCACTTTTCTCAGCTGACTCCCTTGTTCAAGCATGTTAGGCTGTAAGAGATCTTTTCTGAAGATCTGCTTCAGAAAAAGCTGCTAGAGCAGTAAAAGGTTGGTCCTGTAGTTAGTGAACTGACTTGGTCTCTGCCCTTGCACTGATACAGAGGAACCTTCTCAGCAACTTGGTTGTATCCTCTGAGTGACTCCCCAGAGGGTCTGTTCCAAAGGAGGAAAGACTCTGTACTCCTCTACTTGCTCGACTCACATCTCTGTCCTCTTCTTTATTCCCAGAAAGCTGTTTCCCCAGGGCTTGCCAGATGAATTCACTGTGATCATCACTCTACTCTTGAAGAAGCAGACCACCAAAGAGAACTGGTATCTCTTCCAGATCACCGACCCTCAGGGATACCCCCAGGTATAACCAACTACCTTGGCGCAGCCTTTCCATGGCCTCTCTGACCTATCATTTTCCTGCTTTTTCCACCCAGGCTAGCCCCAGTTAAACTCCTTCCTTCCTTTCCAGAATAAGTTTAGCCAATGGTTGATTTGCTTTCTACCTCGTCCTGTCAGTGAATGGTGCGATGGGATTATACTTGCATGCGTGAAAATATAGTAAACTCTAAACTCAGGTTAATAAGATAGGGTTGCTGTGTTCATTCCATGTGCAATGCCCCCAGAAAGAAATATTGTCACTGAATGTGGTGAGCTGGTGCACATTACACACTTAAGCAATGGCTGAGTTCCCACAAGATGCTGAACCACAAATTATGGAGTCCACCTCAGCCTGCTCCACCAACCTGAGACATGGAGTGGTGCTCTGTCTTGACTTTCACAGGATGGAGAACTCTCCAGTTATATGATGCAGAAGGAATATTCTCAGTGTGGGGTGGAGAACTTTGGCCACCAAACACAGCTTTGCCCAGCCTGTTGTCTTCCAAACGTGTTAAGCATCAGGTAACCTTCAAATCTGTCAGGCATCAGATAACCTTTTCAGAATTTTGCAAGGCATGCTGAACACTAAGATATGCGTTAACATGCATTATATTAAGGGAAATGTGTATATGAAAGTATTATATAAAGGTAAAGAGCTGGCAAGAATGCATATATTAAAGGAAATTCACATCAATCAAATTCATTTTTACATAGGTTAAAAAATGATGCAGAAACATAGAACAGTCATCTATCCCTATCTGTTATTACCACATATTTATGACCAGATATATACAATTTAGACAGATCATCTAACTTGATTAAACCAACTTAATGTGCAAGAAAATTGTTCAAAAAGGAACCTGATAAATTTCATCCAGATAATACTGCCATCAGAGAAAAACTCACCCTTAGGTGTTTTTAAGGATTTTTAACTGCTATTAAAAAGAAAAAAATAGGGCTTCATTTCTTTAACAACAGCAAAATATTACTAATTTGGACAATACTACATAATATACCAAATGAACTACTTTTCAGTAATGCAAGAATCCTTCTAAATCTGCTCCAAGTCATATATTCTGGAGAATCTACATTGGTTATCATTGCAATTTTTCCATCATATACCTAACTTTGTGCACAGCAAGGGCATTCGGAGGGGGACGGTCAAAAAATCAAGGTGGAGGCCGTAGTCATATGACTGAAGCCCCACCCTTTTTGACGTGCATTGCAACAGACATTAAAACACCAGGGCTTTGATCAAAACACTTGTGGCGGCCATCTTGACTTTTTCAACCACCCTGCAAATACTCCTCATACACAGCTTTCCTTAAAGTACTCACTTTTGTATGCAACTACTCGCTTTGGTATGCTTTTTAAAAAACGTGACTCTGTCTGATACACAATGTCTGTCTGTCTGCATGGAACTTTCCCAGTTATGCGCTCTTTCTCCCGAACATACTGTACACTTGGTACAAATTTATAAGAACAGAGAATGACTTATCCCTTTTATTGTTGCCTGCTTCAGTCACATTGTATGGTTCCTCTCCTGGCAAAATCTTCTTTGATGGCTTTCGTTCTGTCTCATTAGATTCCTGCCTTTTGTAACAGTGGGCCACCATTGTCTTGCATTTGGCAAAGGAATAAAGTCTTCTGACTTATCTGCGGCCATGAACTTCCATCTCTTTCTCGCCACTAAGAGCCCTGCCTGCATCTTTCAGCTTCTCTTCTCCCCCTCCTGCCTCTCTCTTTTTAGAGCATTCTCCTACTCAGCGCCATCTCCTCCTTCCACCTTTTCAGCTCTCCCTGGGGATCAACAGCAAAGAGCGGAGTCTTGAATTCCAGGCCAAGGACGGTCATGGGGAACCTATTGGCGTAGTCTTTGCTGGCAAAGGCATCACCTCCCTTTTTGACTTGAAGTGGCACAAAATGGCCATCAGCATTCAAACCCAGGTGGTCTCGGTCCATGTCGACTGCAGTTACATCTCCTCTAAGCCCCTGCAGCTCCGCCAACGGCTGGTCAGTGAAGGCAACGCTTTCGTGGGGCTGGATGCAGTGCAGGGGACTCCGGTGATGGTAAGTCACAGTGGTGGTCATGGGAGCGTTGTGAACAAGTAGTGGCTGGGAGATATGTCTCCACGTTGAGCTGACCACAGCTTTCTCCAAACCAGGCAGGCTATTTTGCTTCCCCTCCAAGAGGCAGGACAACTTGCAGCCTTAACGCTCACCTTAAAGAAATTGAGCCAAAACGTTCAATGAGGTTCAAACTGGTTTTCTTTATTTGCTAACTGAAATACAGTGATCACTAGGCTCCCAGCCAGCAAGAGCTTTATAAAGGTCTTATAAAGGTGACAGCGTAATTGAATAATTAGTTTATAACTACAGATAAAAGACACAGATGCATTAAAAGGAAGCTGGGGGAGTTTTCTTGTCTTACTTCTTGGCAGAGCAGTATAAGCTTCTCAAAGGCATCTATGTACTACTAAAACTCTTGTGTCTGTAACTTTCAACTGGGTGAAACAGTGCATCACAGGGCAAAAATCTTTGAACCAAGGTAACTCAAATGGACTAACTTATGGAATGCATCCAAAATCTGGGACCCATTGCTCCCACGGGATTGAAATTCAGGAAATTTATGGCCTTTTCAACACTGCTGTGCTGCCACGCCACCAGTCAGCCCAGGTCACATGGCCATCATGGGCATACCCGTGACCTCTTTCCTGCCTCCCTCTGTCCTCCCGTGCCCAATCATTTGGTGGCAAGGCCTGACGAGCGAGCAGCGATTGGCTGCTTTGGAACCGAGGCAGAAATTTGAAACCTCTTAATGGCGGTGGGCGTTGAGGGAGCGACTTGGATCCCTGCTGGTGAGGTAGGGCTGGCTGGGGGGCGCCAACAGGTGGGGCCTCTTCCTCCCTCAAGGGAGGGGGCCCTTGGGGACACCCCGGAATGGGGAGTGGGGGTGCAGTTTTCCTCATGGTCAATGGCTCCCTTTGTTCCACCTCCCTCCAGCAAAGTGGCAGGCAGTTCTGCGGGTCAGCCGAGAAGGAGGCAGCTTCACTGGGGCTCTCCTGAGGGTCATGAGGGGACAGCAAACACAGCAAGCCTATATTATATGTGGGAAGGGAAGGAGGGAGATTTTTGACACTCCCTGCCAGCTTCCCACAAGCAAAGTCAACGGGGAAGCCAGCACCAAGGCGTACGTTGCTCACACTCTCCCTGCTTTTTTGCCCTTGGTCATTCTGTTTGTCTGTTTAGGTAAGGAAACGATGACTCAGTAGGTCACGGGTTGCCTAGTAAACACTACAGTTGTTGATACAGCTCTTCTACTTGGCTATGATAATAGTATATCCCTCTTCATACCCCAAGTACGGAAGTGACAAGTTTCAGATGTTATTATTTGTTTTCTTGAAAGAATCACCAATAATGGGGCAATTTGCTACAAATCAAAGTGTCTACAGAGTTAGGAAGATTGTTAAGCCACGGGAAGTGTATATACTGGGGAAGATGTATTGTCTATCTTTCTGGCTGACCTTAATATATGCATAAGAATATTGATGTGATAGAGATCTGGTTTTGTTTTGGTTTGGTTTTGGTTTAAAAAAAACAACACCTTTCTTATTTCTTAGAATTTTCAGGCCTGGCCATGTTTAGCCATTTTTATATTTGCTCCCACACCTCCAAATCCTTTGAGTTCTGGGTCCCTGGATATCTTTCCATCTAATTTCCAAAAATCAGCACCATGGTGGGAACTAATGGATGATGATGATGATATCTGGTTACCAAGTTAACTCTATTTTAGGATTTGCACAAAATATTCAGCAACAAAAATCCTAACCAAGTGTGATGCATTTTAAGCCTAACCACTTGTAATGCTATTTAAACTGAAGCAGCCAATTTGTTCTACTTGATTAAGCGTAAAGAGTGAGCATAGTCAAAAGTATACAAGACTTTAGTGTGGGCTTAAAATAGTTACCAAGAGAATAAAGGACCAGCTCTTCCCCTCCTCAGCCTACAGAAAATGTCCCAGTCCCATCCTCATGAACGATTCTGCCCCCAGGTTTTGGCTTGCTGTTGTGACCTTCATTCCCCCAAAAAAGATAAATGGAGCCTCTGCTCACCAGAAAGCCAGCTATCCTTGTTTTAGGAGGACCCTATCTCCTCTGAAGCAGTCATCAAGAATGCCTGGATACCCACAGATTTGCAAAATACTTCTGCTTCCTTGAATGGTCCTCCTCGTTTAGAAGAGAGGAAAAAGCTTCAGGAAGCTTTTGGATCTTGCCAAATGTGCTTAGAAAGTTTCAGGAGAGGTAGCGTCTGCTGGCCACTGAAAAGTGTCTCTGCACCTCTTTAAGCTCTGGACTTCTCTTGACATTTCTCAGGCCTGAAAAGGAAGCTCCAGATTTGCTCCAGTAGTTTTTTATGATACATGAAATGCGGTGGCAACTTTCCTTGGTGCAAGTTCCATCTCAAAAGGAATGTAGCTCTAGAGAATGTGAGTCCGTGTGAAGTCCTCGGCTACCATAGCAGTAAGTGAGCCAGCTCTCTGCCGTCCTGCTGATTTCGGTCTCCTGTTTTTGTGCGTTGTGATACGCTAACACGCTTTAGCTTCTTGTTGCTGTCATTCTTCCTCAGAAACTCGATGCGCTGGGCAAGTGATGCAAAGCACAAACGTGCACAATCAGGAGCTCTTAACTGTTAAGGAAGTGGGTTCCTACCATAACGTCTGAGTTTTGGACTTTGTCCCCATCTACAAAGAGAATGCAAGAATATCATAATGGAAGCCAAAACTGAAATGAGATATTTTTTTTTCCCCTCCCAGTTCCAATGTTTCTTTTCTGGAAAGAATTTGAGCATGATGTATTGAGTGGGAAGGAGTCAGCCTTGCTCTTAAACAGACCGTACAGCAGGAATAGCCCAATGAAGAAAGAATAACCCATGGAAAGAAGATGGATTTTTAAAATGTTCTTAAATATCAACCACACCTTGAGACCCACCATTTGAGATGAATAAGGCATGCTTATGATAGTCTCCCCCATAATACCTCTGCGCGTGTTCTGAATCTCACATTTCTCTAGATGGGTTAAGGCTGCAACTTCCAGAATTCCCAGCCGGGATGGACAATGGCCATCCCGGCTGGGAATACTGGGGATTGGTAGTCCCAGAAGTTGTGTATTGTGGAAGTTGGCCCGTTGAATGAGGCTGCCCAGCATTTCAAGAAGTATGACAAGTATTTTATCTGGAATATTAATCCATCTAGTCTAGCAACTGGCCAGACTTCTAACAACTAAGTAGGTCTCCCTCTGCCATAAGTAACTTTTTTTTTACTTTACTAACATGTTAGCTATGTGTCATTGAGCTGGCAATTGTATTGTGAATGCCCATCATCTCAACCTGATGTCTCCAGTGACAACCAGGAAGTTTTTCAAGGACATTCCTGTAAACTTCTTGATTCTCTCCATCCAGCTAATCCCATGTCTTCATTATTTCCTCCATCCTTGTCAAAATAGGGTTTTTTTCCCCTGGTTGATCATCTTCTTGCACCACATGCGCAAAGTATATGAGTCTCTGCTTGTTGATCATCACTTCACAGGCACCATCAGCCTTTATTTAGTCCAGAACTGATTGATTGGTTTTGATTTCCAAATTCATAATTTGATGATATTTATCTTCTTTTTCTCACTTTTCCTCAATGTCCATGTGGTGCAGTTATTTTTACTAATCTCGTAGTATAGCAGAAACTTTGGACAAGTCCAAGACACAGCTGAGCGGAGGCAGGATCTGAAATGCTTTCAGTGGTAGTAGTTCTACATCTCTCAGAGCTAAGTTTCATCAGGAATTGCCACCAAATTTTGCTGAACATTTGAGAGAAATTTGGAGGTTCCTTCCCAAAGTTCAAACTAGCAATGTTCCTCTAAGCCTGTAAAACTTTGGAAGCTGTCAGAGAATCCTGCTTAAGCAGAAGTTTAGGTGAATCTAGAAGTATTCCTGAAGGCAAGCAAAACAGCAGAGGAATTTCAAGAAAAACTAAAACTGCTTAAACAATACTGATGAAATTCCTTCTAAGGGAATTCAAGCATTACTAAAATGCACAAGACTGTAAAAAGGGATAAAAGAATTGCAGGGGGTTTGTCCAAAGCTGCAGAAGGATTGAGAGAGTAAGGCAAGGGAATCTGCATAATTATAAAGAAAAAAAACCCAATAGCACCAACTGTGTGGTTCCAGAAAGCAATTGTGAAAGCATTTGAGCTGATCAGCCAATGTATAATTAACGAGAAACTAAGCTATTTTGGTGTGAGTGCATTCGGAGATAAATCAAGTAGCTTTCAAAAATCTTGTTCTAGGCCAGGCCTCTGGCTTGGCACTAATGTACCATGTTCTCTTTCTGTAAGACCTTTCCAGCCCTGGATTAATGCAGCATGCTAAACCCAACCCAAGTTAACAAAACACAGTTGGTCCGGATTTGCGCAATGCACTAAATGAGGCCCTGAGGTCCCCTTTGCTTCCACCTGCACTTAGGCACACGTGGGCCTACTTGTGGGTGGACATTTACAAAACTGCATGCATTTTTTTGTATATCTTTTGTCCTATTCATACAACCAGGGAGTTACAAAACTAGGAGCTGTTCATATTTTCTGGCCATTCATACATTTGCAATCCCACTCAGATTTGCTCCTTGGAGTCCTGACCTGCAGTCTGAGAATCACTCAAACTCAGATGCTTATGCACAAAACATGTTTAATCTGGTTATTGAATCAGTTCATTTTGAGATTTGTGTACGACGCTTTGGACCATAAAATAGCTGAATGGCTTGAGTTCACACAATACACAAAACCACACACACAAGCAAACCAAATCGAACAAGCTCAGAACTAACTCACCTCAGCAAAATGTTGTGCAGATCCAGAGTCACAGACTTCTTTGGGCCTGGGCAAGGGTGTTGTGCGAATACAGTCAAAGTGTTGGTGGAAGTTCCCAAAGATGGGCCCAACTTGCTGAAACTAAAAAGATATAATTCTGATCAATTTCTAGATGGATGTTTCCCGCAGATCTTCCCAAATTGGCATGACTGTCATGGTAACAAGGATATATATTCCCATCAGTCCGTTAAAAGGCATAAACCTGTCCCATCTTGATTGATCTGAAGTCCAGAATTCTTTTTCCCCACTGCTTTATTTCCCCATGAGAGTTGAAACAAGACTTGTAAGTGTGTAGAAGGGAACCCAGCCATCAGGAGGCATCAATGGAGGAAGCTGAAGGACCCAGGAATTCTTTGTGAGTGTAGATGGGGCTTCAAGTATCTCAGCAACTTCCACTTTTCAAAAATTATTATATCAGACTAATCAGCAGAAGATAAAAGTATATTTACAACAGTATTAACAGCACAACCTCAAAATTAATAATCATGATAATTACATAATTTTAAAAAGCAAAAGGGAAAAAAAAGAAAACACAAGATCTGGGTAATTATGTTATAAATAGGCAACTCCAGAACATTTGAGGATAGTGCTCTTCATTGTCCCTTTATCCAAAAAAACCCTAACCCTCATTTAAATCTTGGCAAACAATACATTTCAACAATCGACTCTTGCAAAGAAGATTTCTCCTTCCAGTGTTGTATGATCCATACCTTCAATCATGCCCCCAAACCCTACAATTCTTGATGACTTGATAGATTCCAAATATTGGTATATAGCCAAGGAGAACATATACAACCTGTTTTTTCCATCCTGTGGCTTCTGTTAGGAGAGCCGATCAAAATCTCACCCGTTGACCTAAGCTCTACAATGAATTTTTATGGTGTTCAACTTGGCAGGAAGTCACAAATCCGGGCTAGTGAGTGAGCTGTTATGTATGATGGACAATTATATGGTAGTCTTCCCCAACCTGAAGTCTTTGCTGCCTGTTGAGGGTACAAGTGCAGCAGAATTCACGAGGCATCCTGTTGAAGTAGGTGCCTGAAGAACTGTAGTGCAACAGCTCTGATGGGGAAGCAGTAGAAATGCAGTCATGTGGAAAGCCGAGTGTCAGAGATGAGGGAGATAAGAGAGTCAACGTAATGGTTAGTTCTCAGACCTAGAACCACGGTGGTGTAAACAACCAGATGCACGCTCCCATGTTAACAGTGAAAAGATCCACCACCTCCCCGGTTCACAGAAAAACAGAAAGAAAATGAAGAAGTCCTTGCCCTCAAGGACTTTGGGGATATAGGTGTAGATGGGAAATAGCTCAGATAGTTCAGTCGCTGGAATTCCTTCAGCCCCCTCCTTTTCTTCTCAATACATCTTGCTAAAGAGATTCCGTGAGAATCATGCTAGAAAAAGGGTTACTTTCGATTTTAGGCAGATGCTGAAGAGCCCGGCAGCCTGTCTGAAAGTGGCATGTAGCCCTGGCTTGCTGTCATGGATGGAAGAGGAGAAAGCGATGGCCCGTATGACCCTGTCATTTGGCAGGCTGGACCCAGAGATCAACTTGCCAGAACTTGTGCAGCTTTTAATACGAGTGAAGTCATGGAGTGGGAGGGGGGGCTCGTGACTCATGGCTGCTGATCCTTATGAGACAACGTCTGATATCTAGGCAGCCTCCAAAGAGATGTGGCTCATCGCTGAAAGGATGGAAGTAGAGATAAGAACAACCTGGAGAAATTGGCCTGTTTTGTCCTTTTGCTTTGGATCAGGGCCACCCCAGAGATTTAGGAGGAAGGGATTTCGAAATCTGAGGAAACTAGGGGGAAACTAGTCATGCAACATTTTTTATCATGATCTGGGCTCCTTCTCTGCTTCAAGCCAGATCTGTGGTTGCCCCGCAAGTCTCCCACAGTCAGTATTTCAAGAGGGACCTGAGATTAGCTGCTAGTCTGAGATTTAAGCCACTGGCCTAATGCCATGTCTGCAGCCCACAAAACCTAGGATTCAGGGTCAAAACTTTGCCCTCAGCAATTCTATCCAGGGACCGTGTGAGGTGCTGAGAAACCCGTGATGAAGGAGCCACTTGAGAAGCCCTGCTTGGTAGTGAATGGTGGCTTGGGATTCTTCTCCAGGCAAGCTTTTTCCCCAAGATTCTTGATTTCTGACCTAAAAGCATGCTTGTTTATTTTTCCTAGTTTGACATTCAACAGCTGCACATTTATTGCGACCCAGCCATGGCAATGCACGAGGGATGTTGCGAGATCTCTGACAATGGGGTGAGTAATTGTTAAGGCTTGCGAAAAATGACCCTTTTAATTATGGATGAGTGGGTGTGTGGGGAGGGGGAGGCGGGTTGTGGAATGTTCCTGCCTATTCCCATGTTACCCTACAATCATGAGATGCTTATCTACAGATATAAATGGACAATCTTCCTAGAGTATTATGCCTGGATGTGCAAACATATCCATACCCACACCCACAAATGTATGCAGGATTTGTTTGGGTTACACATCTATAATTTGCAGCTTAATAGCATGCTTTCATTCAACTTCAAGGCATGGGGTTAGTCCTCCTGTACCTACCAGGTGCATGAGAACAACAGTGGGAGAGGAGATCAGCCTTGATCTCTACTTGTGGGCTTCCTAGATGCTTCTGGTAGACTAATATGGGAGATGGAATACTAATTAGATGGACCTCAACCTCCTCCAGCAAGGCTGTTCTCATGCTTTCATGCTCTCAATTTAGTATACAACCCAGTGTTTCAATTAAATGGAGATCTGAATTCTTGGGCACACCGTTGCATTCACTGTGGACCTTACTGTGGACCAATTTGTATTTTGAACCATTGCAAAGTTCAGTGTGGATCTGAGGATACAGTAGAGTCTCGTTTAACCGACCTTCGCTTATCCGACATTCCTTCTTATCCGACGCCCCTAAAAAAAACACAACACGCATCAGTCGGCGACGAGAAAAGCGTGCCGCTTGTTTGCGAGCGTGAGTGTACTCTTTCTTGTTGCTCCTGACGGTGCGGCGCCACAACGCAAAAATCGATTGCAACAGGCGCAGCGGATCGGGGTTTTTTTTTTTTTTTACTGCACTCAATCCTTACTGTGTGTTATTCGACATTTTCGCTTATCTGACGTTCTGCCGGCCCGTTTATGTCAGATAAGTGAGACTCTACTGTATTTGCCAACCTGCTATTGGTCTTGGAGACGAATCAGAAGCAAGTGCTAGTGAGTTTTGTCTACGAGCAGGAAATCAGGATATTCATGGCCATTCTACCCATCTTTCTCCGTCCACACATGTTGTCATCAGGTTCTAACCTGTTACAATGGCTGGGTTCATACTGTATATCATATGGCTACACCTTAATAGAGTTGGTTTGCTTTTTGGTGGCTGAGAGTGATTAATGAACCAGGCCACCCTGGCTTCTTAAAAGCACTGTGATTTTAAAAAATCCCGAATCCCCAAAATGTAGCCTCTCATTTCCAAACCCACTAAGAACGTAGCAGCTTTCCTTCTCCATATTATTTTGATTCTTGATTCCATTTCAACAGTGTTTTCCGGAAGCCTCTAAAACCCGTCGGGACGTGGAAGTCATGGAGAACAATGACTTGATTGAGATCAACCCCCAGACGGAAGGCAAGGTTTATACGCGCTGTTTCTGCCTAGAAGAACCTCAGAGCAAGCAGGTTTGTCTTTTCAGGGTATTCCCCCTCTACATGTTTTGATTTTTGTCTCAGGGTCCTTTGCACGGGTGAGCGTACTTATATTCTTGGGTTTTAGGCTTTTATGGATCCTTACGTACTGCGCCCCAAGGTTGTACTTATGAATATTATGAATTAAAAGAAAATCAGCATGAGAGGGTGTGCAGCAAAAAGCAAAGAACTGTGGGAGCCTCCCGTCGAATCTCACCTCTGCCATGAAACCAAGAGAGGTGATCATATAAACAGACCTCCTTTATGTTGGAGGCTACAACATCAAATGGGAGTGAGCAAAGTCGCGCTCAGAGCTCCCGCAAGGCCGCTTCCGCGTGTGTCTAAGGGCCTCTGATTTTCTTTTAAATGAAACTTGCCAAAAGCTCACAAGAGATAAATTGTGAAAGTGCTCTCAGTTTTCATGAGATGTTGGCCATTTCTGAAGTAGGCCGAGAGGTAGAGAGGTAGGTTCCCACCACGTGCGTGAAGTTGCAGAAATGGTGCTCCCTACTCAGAAAGGTTCTGAGCCTGGCACAGAGAACACAAAGTGGGCTCCTGTAACAGTACCTGGGAATGACCTTGGGAGACAGGAGGGAGAGCCACAGACTGGACAATGGTGCGTAGAAGATAGCTCAGCCCACAGAAGGAGGGAGGGCACAGGAAACATTTCAGAAGGGACCCTCCCTATTTTTCTGGAGAGGAAAAGGAAAGGAGGGAGGGGAAAAATACTTTCAGACTTGCAAGATTCTGTTAAGGTAACCTTACAATAAAGATAGAGGTGTGCTTCTTGTCTGGACTACCTCGCAGGGCTGACAGCTCCCTAAGGGCTGCTACCTAAAGACTATGATGACAACCACTTCCTCGTGAGATGGGCGGTGTCTAAATTTGAAATATAAATAAATAAACAAACAAACAAATAAAACCGCACTTCTTCTTGTGAGCATTTCATTCACTGGAATCCTAGGGCCTTTGCTCTGAAACAGAGAGTAATGTACATGGCAGGAGGGTGTTTTGATGTGTGTGCGCAGAGAGCCAAAATATGTCGCTTTGATTTATTTTGACAGTCATGAGGTTAAATCAGACCAAATTATGTTGTATGGGAAACATTCGGTTATTTTGGCCCTGCTTTTCCATTCCCCAAATACTCTGTTTCTGTTCCATGTTGGAAGCAGGACTGACACCCCTCTGTAGATCCAAAACACCCCCTGTTTTTCTCAGCCTCACCTTCTCTGTGATTTTTAAAATTAAACATGAAAATGTTCCGTTTCCC